ATATATATATATATATCATTAATAACATTAAATATAATTATAATAATAATAATAACTTTTTTCAAGTCTACTTTAACTTGAATAGTTACACACCGACTGTATCTCACATTTTCTATCTATTTTAGATCAATCATTTTTTCATTACGAATATGTTTTATCTTATGTTTCATTATACTTTTTCTTTTAAATTTAATCTTATCGAGTAATGCATAAATGGTATAATAGTGGAGTAGTTACTATGAGTAATATGATATGAAACGAAAAAAGAAATTAAAAGATATAGGCCTAAAATTTGATATTTTAAAAAACAAGGTTATTGCCTTGATAATAACTAGTTATAAACAAGCACTTTTTGCCTTCTGTATTTGTGTGTGTATATATATATATATATTATTTATTTATTTATTATTATTATTATTATTATTTTAATCTTTCTCTGTATTTGTGTATGTAGTTGAGTTTTTTAATTAAAAATAAACGGCGGTTAAAAGATGTGAATAACTGCTCTATTTTAACCCAAGAACCAGAAAAGAATGTTGTTTATGTTTCAATCTTTTTAATTATATAAACCAGTAGAGAGGATAAAGTAAGAGGTGACAAATCTTCCTGGCCTCTGACCACTTTTCAAATAACAAAAAAGTTGACACAAATTTGGGTACTGAAATAAATAATCCTCTTATTAGCACAAAGCTAGTATGGTATTGCAAAATCATAGCTTTAGCCAGATACTTGTCGGGAGCCAGTGACATTATTACAACAACAATGATCTACATGCTACATGCCATCACCATTTAGAAAACCTGCATTAGCAGAGATGTAAGGAAAATGTGAATAAAAATATAAGCAAGATTACACTGACCAACCAAATTACAAACAAGAAAGTGCAAGAGAAGATATGATTATTAAAACGGAGGCTCTAGTCTCTACCCTTGGTTTCTTCATTCAAGAAAAGGGTAGTCAGTATAACCAAGAACTGGATCAGAAATGTAGAATGTCTCTCTGTTATACTTGTTGAGAGGAGCATTTAGAGCAAATCTCTTTGGCAAATCTGGATTAGCCAAGAACAAACGACCATAAGCAACAAGATCAGCTCTGTTTTCAGCTACGGCATTGATCCCATCTTGGCGGTCATAACCTCCTGCAGCTATAAAAGTGCCCTTGAAGGCCTTCCTCATTGGAAGCAAACTGTGAGGGCACTCAACTTTTTCTCCAACAGTTTTCATTCTTGGCTCCACCATGTGGCAGTAGAGAATGCCATACTTGTTCAGGGCATTCACCATGTAAAGCCCCAATTGTTTGGGATTTGAGTCTCCACACTCTGCATACTCTGCAAAAGGTGATAGCCTAATTCCAACTCTGTCCGCCCCTATCTCATTAACAACAGCTTCCACAACTTCCAAAGCAAACCGGCAACGATTCTCAAGAGATCCACCATACTCATCCGTTCTGTCATTCACCTTGTCTTTCATGAATTGCTCAAGCAGGTAGCCATGAGCCCCATGAATCTCAACCCCATCAAACCCTACCATTTACACAACCACATGTATATATGTTAGTGAAACAATGTTAAATTGTACTTAATATTTTTTTCCCATGAGTCCATCACATAATCTATGCAATGTACGTGTATTTGATAATTAAAGACTAATCCGACATAATCTATGTAATGTACGTGTATTTGATAATTAAAGACTAATCCGACATAATCTATGTAATGTACTTGTATCTGATAATTAAAGACTAGTCCGACATAATCTATGCAATGTACGAGTATTTGATAATTAAAGACTAATCTGACATAATCTATGCAATGTACATAATTAAAGACTAATATGCGTATCTGATAATTAAATACTAATGTGTACTCCTTCTTAACACAAGGTCAACTAAGTCCCAAGGCTAGGGGATTTAATTTCAAACATTGGTAGGAGCAAAAGGTGAGGAAAATTACCAGCTTCTATGGCATTTCTGGCAGCAAGTCTGAAATCATTGACGATATGAGGAATTTCATCAGTCCTTAGGCGCCTTGGTGGCGTGAATTGTACTTGGTCAATGCCATTACTTCGAATTTGTGGTGAGAGTGGTTTGTCCGTAGAAGATATGGGTGGTTGGGCATTAGGCTGGTAAACTGTAAGAACATAAGAATGCAATTAGTCACCCCTTAATCAATAATCAATAACAAGAAAAGATGGTTGAGGAAAAAAGAAAAGACCTGAATCGGAAACCCTTCCGACATGCCAAATCTGACAAAAGAATATTCCGCCTTTGGCGTGAACGGCATCGACAATGGGTTTCCAGGCTTGGACCTGCTCCTTTGTCCATATGCCAGGCGTCTGCGGATAGCCTTGAGCGGTGTCGGAAACGCCGGTGGCTTCGGCAATGAGAAGGCCGCCGTTGGAAGATCTCTGAGAGTAATAGAGAACGGCGTGGGGCTGAGGAACGTTGCCGTAAGATCTCTGTCTGGTGAGCGGTGCCAAAACAACTCTGAAAAAATAAAGAGTGGAATCGGTTAAGAAATAGAATTGATGGAATAGGAAAAGGTGGTTAGTAGTTAGTGGTTAGTACCTGTGGGATAGGTTGAATTTGCCCATTTTGTAGGGAGTGAGAAGAGGAGTAACAGGATCTATAGAAGCCATTTTCTGAATGTTGCACCAATGGAATCGAGTGGATGCTATTTATAGAAGCTGAGCGTGACGTGTGCAATTGCGTTGCGTGGCCGCAGTCAACTTTGACCCATTAGCCACCACTCTCTAGTCTCTTCAGCTCACTCATTATTACTCAACTATAGAGATGAGGGGTGGGTAGATGGACCCGATCCGCGGATCGGTCTGTACGCCCGCGAATTTTGCGGATAACGGACCTATTTTTTTTTAAATTCGTATGATTATGTCTAATTTTTTAGTCCGGCTCGTTAAGTCTGCGGACTTGGCGGATTTAATCCGCGGGCTCGCAGGCTAGTCCGCAGACTTCACATTTAATATTTTTAAATATTATGGTTTTAATATTAAGTTGTGTATTTAATTTTTTAAAATTATTATGACTTAAAATTATGTTTAGTTGGTATATATTTGTCATTTGAATTATTTTTATGACATTTTGATGCTTTTATTATTAAAAGTTTGGTACTATTATTTAAGTATTTGTAATTATTTTTATTTTAATATTTTAATATTTAATATTTTAAACCATTTTAACTATTGATAAATTTTAGTATGATAAAATTTAGCTTATAAATAAAAAATATTTTTTTTCTTCTAATTTTATGTATTTTTATTTAAATATTTTTTTTGAACCATTATTTAGGCCCGCGGACCGGTCCATAATCCGCGGATTTTGGTAGGCCGAATACGGACTTAAAAAATAAGTCCATTTATTTTACGGACCGGACTTATCCGGCCCGTATAAAATGCAAGTTTTACGGATCGGGCCTTAAACGGGCCGGACCGGTCCGTATACCCACCCCTAAGAGATGGTAATGAGTCTCATGAAGGGATAATAGTAAAAATTTAATGTTAATTTTAAATTTATATTTAATATTAATTTTATTGAAATAATAAAAATACAAGATAATCAATATCTTAAAATATATAAATCTCACAAGTAAGTTAAAGTCTCGTCACAAAGATACAATAATTCAATCTCATAATTCTAAACAAAAGTAAATAACTTAAAATACATAAATTTTATTGGTCTAATCAAAGCTAAAAAATTAATCAAATTACATCTAACATAATTTTATAACATGTTTAACATATGTTGATAACTTCATCAACCTCACACTTATAAGAAAATAAGATGAGAGACTGTAGTTTTAGGATTATGTGGTACAAAGATAATTAAAATATTTAAGAAATATTATTAAACGGGTACTCGCGGGTACGAATATCATCATACCACCCCCCTGTTTATAAATAGATAAAAAATTATTCATCCTCATTATTCATGAGTAACCAATTAGCCTATTCATTTATCATCTGTAATAGATTTTACCTGCAAATACTTGTGAGTGCATGTATTTTTGTCATCCCTGCTCAACTAGCAGCCATGTCTTTTCCATTGAAGGGGAGTCGCAAAACAAAATTCTTTTTAAACCAAACGGACCCTTAATTTTACTAAATATTCTCTATAAGAGTATTTTAATTTAAAAATAATTAATATATAAAATATTATGAATTGAATGTTATGTAAAGGAAGAAATAAATTTTTAAAAATTAATGATTAAAAAATCAACCGTTTCAAGATCAATTATGATTGAAAAAACAATGTTTCTAAATTCAAAACCTAAAGGAAATGGATAAAATAATAAACCCACACCCACTCGGCCGATTAAAGTCCACGTTTCTTTTTTATGTTTACTTTTTGCCATTAAAGTAACTGTATCTGTCCACGAAATCGTCTACATTCATTCATCCTTCTCTATTAAAGTCCCTAACTCGGAAGAAATGATGTCCCCACCGTATAAATAAATTGTGTTTATTATTAATCATAGTGTCAAAAAATAGTTTTATAATTAATTTTTTTCTAAAAATAAGGTGATCACTTTTTAAAAAATATTATGATTGATGTAAACATAAAAGTGATAATTAATAATATATTAAAAAATTAACATATATTTATTTTAAAACTTATCTTTTTTTAAACACAATATTTACTATGGAATGGAGCGAATATCACTCTCTATCCTAAATTAAATATAGTTATAGTAACTTAAAAATATTTTAAATAATTAAAATTTTCACTTTTTAATATAATATTAAGTATTTTTCTTTCAATTTTTTTTTTACATTTTGGCAATTAATTTATTTTTATAAAAAATATCTGTTATATCTCTCGTCGTTATTAATAGATTATTTAATTAATGTATCTTTTTATAATCTAAAATATTTAAGAGTATATTAAAAAGATATATAAAACATTTTTTTAATAAAATCATATATATATATATATATATTAAAAATGGACTTAAAAAATAGTCTAAATAAAACAAAAACTCACGAGAGAAAATTACATTAAAAAAACAATCACTCAAAGAGATGATCCTAAATATTTATATCCCTCTTAACAAAACAATCCGCAACCTGACCTTTCAGAGAATATGAATACATTTCATAGAATGGATATATTAGTTGTCCGAAAACTTAAAATGTGAAACAAAATAGAGAACAAATAATATATTTATTACACTTTAATGTAATAATTACTTCTTGTTATTTTTTTTATTTTGACAATTCTAATTTATTTTAATTTAATTAATATAACGTTAAAAAATTATAAATTTAAATATATTTTTAGTCTTTACAAAATGAAAAAGTTTTTATTTTAGCGTTGTAATTTTTTTCATTATTCTAAAATTTGTAAACATTATTTTTTATTCATATAAAATAAGTAAAAATTGGTTTTGATCATTGTAAAACATTTTTCATTGATTTTTATCTCTCTAAAATCCAAATTCACTATTTATTTTGTATTGATTATTTTAAAGTATATACATAATATTTATCATAAAAATTTATAAAAAAAAATTATACAGGAGTCATAGGCTAACGAAATATTACAAACATTTGTGACTATCATTGGAATTATCACTTAACTCTCCAATAAACAAATAAGTATTCAACAAGGATTATTCGAGAGAGTAAAGACTAAAAAATATAGTTTCAAATTTTTGAGAATGATTTTTTTTTTTTTACAAAGATTGAGATTAAAACTTGCTCAATTTATAAGAACTAAAACATATTTAAAGTTGAAAATCTATTACACCCTTAATTTTTATTAGCGCATTCTTAAATTAATGTCTTTCCTTTTTCAATACTTATTTTATTAGTAAGAATCCAAGATATTTAAATATATATTTAAAAGTTAATTATATATTTTTTAAAATAAATCACATTAATTATAATTTTTAAATCTTATGTCAAAATCTTAAATATTAAATAAAACGGAATGGAGA